TCCCGCCTTTCACTCCCTTTAAGGAGTCTCAAAGCGGCTAACATTCTCCTTTTCCCTTCTTCCCCCACAACAAACACTCTGTGAGGTGAGTGGGGCTGAGAGACTTCAGAGAAGTGTGACTGGCCCAAGGTCACCCAGCAGCTGCATGTGGAGGAGCGGAGACGCGAACCCGGTTCCCCAGATTACGAGACTACCGCTCTTAACCACTACACCACACCGCCTCCTAACAACAACAACAACAGTTATCATGGCTATCAAATTCGTATGTTGCTGAGAAGATGTACAAGGCACAGAGCTGGCCCAAGACATTTTGCTGCCTGAGGCAAAGGACAAGATGGTGCCTCCCCTTCCATGTTCAGAAGGTGGCTGGTCTGAGAAATGACTCAAACATCAACACTGGCAACAGGATAGCAGCACCCCCAGCACACCTGAGGGTTGCTGGCTAGTTCAGTGGGGGCAGAGCAGCCACAGAGGCAGTACTGCTGCCACCCATCAGCAACTTCGCCCTGAGGTAGTTGCTTCCCTCTGCCCAACGGTTGTGCCAGCCCTGACAAGCCACTTTCAAATTGCTTTGCAATGTGCGGTCGCACATTGGACAAAATGCTCATTGGCATTACAAATGCCTCTTCCACATTAGGAAGGATCAGAAAGCATTAGGTAGAGCACATTCTGTAAGCAGAAGGTCTTCTGTTCCATCCCTGGCATCTCTAATTAAAAGGACCAGATGACTGGAAACACTTCTTGAACGTCTCAAGAAGCCAGAGCTGGTCTTGGGTGAGTGTTACAACACAACATGCAAGAAAGTGATCCAAAAGCTCAGGAATTTGGCACATGCTATAGGTACATGCTACAGATCCAAGCTTGGGGCGTGATACTGTTAAGTTTGAACATGCAAAATGTGGGCTGATGTGGCTTTGTCACTCTAATTAAGAGAACTGGTTTAAATGAGACAAATGCCTAAATAATTAATACCACAATTTAGAAGATGTCTCAATATGTTTACTATTACAACTTTACCATAATCTTGCTCAGCAAAATGTACATGAATCTATGCAAACTTCATCGCAACTCTGTGAAACTAGTTTAGCGCAGACTTGGCAGCGCAAATGCTAGGAAATGTGTGGCTAGTCTTTCCCCCTGGCAAATATTCAGTTTACTGATGATGCAACTGTTCTTTACCGTTGCTGTGTTGCAATGCAGTATTTCTCTTAATTAAAAGCTAACAGACAGACAAACAGAGAGGGTTTTATACTTTGGAAATGATCCCAAATTCAGAGGGTGGGAAGCCTCATATTTCGCTTATTTACAAGGGCTCTTGGGTCTGTAATAGTGTACAGCGAGTCTTGAGCTCAGCTCACATCTGCAGGCAATCTCTACGGATGCAGTTTAAAAGGTGGTTTTAAAAATGTGGGCTGGGGGCTTCCTCAGTAGGAGTCTGTCAATGGGAAGATCAGTAATGTGTTCCCCTCTGCTCCCAGCTTCGTGAATTGTCTGTCTCTCATTACCGTGAATGGGATCTACTGCCGATGGGAGTACGAGATATGATAGAAGTATGTTAATGGGTTTTTTATAGCTGCGGATGGTCCTATGAATGGGCAGGAGTCGGGGTCTGAGCTGAGTGCTTGGCAGATTTATTCATTCATTTGGGGGGTTATAGGTCTCCTTTCTCCTCCGAGAAATGAAGTACTCCAACTGCAGCAAAATATTAGAAGCAGGAGAAAGCAAAAAGTCAACAGAAAAACAACCTCTTAAATTACATATACCGTATTTTTTGCTCTATAAAATTCACTTTTTCCCTCCTAAAAAGTAAGGAGAAATGTGTGTGCGTCTTATGGAGCGAATGCAGGCTGTGCAGCTATCCCAGAAGCCAGAACAGCAAGATCCCTGTTGCTGTTCTGCTTTCTGAGATTCAGAATATTTTTTTTCTTGTTTTCCTCCTCCAAAAACTAGGTGCGTCTTGTGGTCTGGTGTGTCTTATAGAGCGAAAAATATGGTATATAGGAGGGAGCAGTAAAACATGGAAACCCCCCAAAAGCTAGGACTAAACAAAAGAAATCTGTGCAACATATAATTCAAGAGAGAGCTGGGAAAGTGCAATGAAACCAGTAGAGGATGTTGTGATGCTCACCTGACCTCCTGACAGATGTGTTGCTTCTGCTTATCGGAAGGAAGAGGTGGAGGTTCAGGGGAGGTCAGCACAGTGCATATGCACTGGCAGGAACGCCAGATTAGCCCTGATGGTGTAGACGCACCACATCCACCTCAGACCTCCTCTTCTCTTTCTTAGTAAGCAGCAGCAATACAGCTGTTGGGAGGTCAGGTGAGCACTGCCACCCCACCAGGCCATCTGCTGCTGAATGGAACACGAGAGAGAGAGAATTTGACTGCCAAGTGCACAAAAAATTGCACATCCCTCACACTCCAGGGAAAAGGCCCTTTTCAGGCATCCTGCCCACCACCTCAGAAAACAAAGGCATGTGTGAAAGGGCCGCCCCAGATTATCTCAGAGGGCAAGCAGATGCATGGCAACCGAAAAAGGCATCAAATTAAAAACATGCCAACTTTTTGGCGCAAAGAAAATATTGGGAGCAAACTAATGAGTGGTCGTAATTAAGCCCTTCTGGGTCCAGGGAACTTCACTTCCTTGATTTCCAGTAGTGTTGCCAAAAGAGGGAGGGAAACAGCCTACCTTGTTCCTTGTGCTTTTAAAAGCACCTTGATTTGTAAAAATGATAGTATCACCGATTGCTAATCTCTGCAGATCAAGCTGCTTCTAGAAGCATGGGTTCATAATTTCGCTTTTTAAAAAGCTGTTTCCCACACCGCTGACTTCGTTAATCGAGTGCACAAGTTTGGGTTTGTTTTTTCAGATTAGAAACTAAAAAAGGTCACGCCAGTCCTCCTCTTCAGTTACTACAATGTTCCCCAGGTGCAGATCTCTTTCATCCACAGCTGTCAACTTTCAGATTTGAAAATAAGGGATCAGCAGCCTCACCTGTCCCCGGGGCCAGTCTACGGGATATCTAACAATGCGGGATAGCAGCGGGAAATGGCGCTGGAATAAGGGAATTTCACACAAAAAAAGGGAAGGTTGACAGCTATGGTATTTTGAATACCTAGATAATTGTTTTGGTAGAAGAGAGAGAGAAACAAACACGCTGATAAGATGTTGGTTTCCCAACAAAAGAGTTTCCCATAAGCGACATCTTCCTGTTCCCCTCAAGCATGGTGTAGAAACCCATTCTGTGAGTCACCTGGCAGATGCCTTGGCATCAGAGAATACTCATAAATCACACCTTAATTAATGACGGATTAAGGAACGATCTTGACAGGATGGCAGAGATTCGTGACCAGCTGTCCTGACTCTTTAAATCTGAGAAGAAAGCAGTTGAATGGGGAGGAAAAAATGAGCTTAAAAAGGTACCCGTGCCCGTACGGGCCAGTCTTGACAGACTCTAGGGTTGTGCGCCCATCTCACTCAAGAGGCCGGGGGCCAGCGCTGTCCGGAGACACTTCCGGGTCACGTGGCCAGCGTGACATCGCAGCTCTGGCGAGCTTAGGTTATGGCAAAAAAGCTCTGGGGCTGAACGATGGGGGTGGAGATGCTCCTTTGGGTCAGCAGCAACACTTTGAATTGTGTTCAGAAATGTTCTCGGAGCCACGGTAGATCTTTTAGGTCAGGGGTTGGCAAACTACGGCCCCCGGGCCGGAGCAGGTCCACCAGGGTTCTAAATCCGGCCTGCCCGGCCATTTAAGAACCTGCCATGAAGCCGAGACTCCTGACAATGACGATGGGAGGAAGAGACGGGTGGCGGCAGCTCTGCCAATCAAACACCGCGCCTGGTTTACCTCAGTGCGGGGACGTCTCTGCCGATCAAACACCGCGCTGTGCTGAGGTAAACCAGGCGCGGCGTTTGATTGGCAGAGACGTCCCCGCACCACGCTGAGGTAAACCAAGCACGGCGTTTGATTGGTGGAGCCGCCGCCACTCTGCCTCTTCCTCCTGCCACCCCCGCCCTGGTGCTCCTGCGGCTGCTGCTGCTCTGCGTCCCCATGAGGGGGGCAGCAGTGGCGTTCCTGGAGGACAGCCGACCCAGGCTAGGCCTCGGCAGGGCCGCCGCCGCCACACTCTCATTGGCAGCCAACGTGACGGTGGAGGATGGTGAGGCTGGCAGCAAAGTGGCCCAGGCGGTGGCCTTCACCTCTGGGGAGCAGGAGGACAAAGGGGCATAAACGCCCGCACGGGGTGGCAGCTGCAGGTGAGGCACCAGCTTGTCCTTGTCTCCATCTCCATGTTCCTTGGAGAGCGACACTGGGCAGTGCGCACCACTCTCAACCAGCTCCTGCAGGCTCCCAACTTCCGAGGCGCCCAGCTCCCGTGAGCACGCCAGCCCATTCTCCAAAACTTCCTGTCTGGCCCCTGATAGTGTCTGAGGGACAGTGAACTGGCCCCCCATTTAAAAAGTTTGAGGACCCCTGTTTTAGGTGTTATAATAAATGCATTCTATCCTTAGAACAAAGGAAGGAAGTCAATATGTGTATATGTATGTAATGACTAGATTAGAATGATAATATGGTTTTATTTGTAGATGTGTGTTTTTGGTTTTTTGTGTGTGCTTTTTCTCTTGTGTTTTTTTTTTCTTCCCTTGTTTGCACTGTTTTATTTTGGATTCAATGTTTGTAATTTTTGTTGTAATTTTGCACTGAAAATAAAAAAAATTAAATAAATAAATGCATTCTAAACGCATTTACTAAATGCATGCATCAGGATGAAGTGCAGGTGAATTTTCATGAGGAGTTAAGGAAATAAATAAATCATGAACTGTGAAGAACTGAACTGAAGATGGGGAAAATGAGAAGCTGGGAGAAAGCAACACTGAGACAGAGTCATTCATCCCTACCTGAGATTCATTGGGAGCCATCCCTCCTTTCTCCAGACCTGCCCAGCTGACCTCATCACCGGCCGCTGAGCCAGTGAGAGCTAAGAGTGCACAGTAGGTGTGGCTTAGTCAAATAGTGGGGGCCCCCACACTCATTAATGCCATTTTTAAAATAATAATAATAAACCAAAGAAAAAGGAAGAGAGAGAGAGAGGCAATGACTGCAGACACATCTCTTAGCAATAATTAGAACCAGGAGGTTTTCTGAAGGAGAGACCGAGGACAAAGGATGAAAAGGGACGTTTAGGGGGATGATTGGGCTAAGTGGACTTTTCCTACTCGCAGTCCTCTCTCTCTTCGTTATACAGTTTCTGAAGCTGCTATGGGCGCGGACTCACTTCCCCCCAGGACCGACGCCTCTTCCCGTTATTGGCAATCTGTGGCTCCTGGATTTTTCCCTTAAGAAAGAGATTCTTGCTAAGGTAATTATTGGCAGTGGCTGGTGGGCAGGGAGGGGGAGGGGGACAAAGGCATGGTGCCCGGGGTCAGGATACCGTGGGTCATTTGCCCAGAGCTTACTTCAGCATTGTTTGATCATTACTGTGATATTGGCTGAGCCCCCAGAGGACATCTGGGGAGAGATTAGAGACAGTCAAACCTGTCCATTTTGGTTTCTCAGTTTTCTGATATTAAGTTCAGATTTCCACATTTCTGCATCGGCATGCTATTTTTAAAAAGTCCTTGTGAAAGACCTCCCCAGCATTTTTCTGCAAAAATTTCCCAATAGACAGACGTTTGCAAGCGATTTCCCCTAATGTAATGCATTCTTGTATGTTATATCCACTAATGTATGTAATGCATCTCCATGCACACGTTCCCCAGATATGCACATTTTTGGGTCACATTATTTGACTGGGAAACCACATTGCAAAACTGAGAGAGGTACAAATTTCAAAGGATAACTGTTTCGGTTCACGTCATGGTTTCATGAAGTGTGTTTTCAGGAGTTTCATATTAACGAGGGAACGGAAGCAAAATTCTTCCCCATCTCAAGGAGGGTTGGACTAGATCAGGTCAGCAAAGTGTGTTCAGAACAAAGTTAGTGACCTTCAAACTGGGGAAAACAAAGATAATTAAGTAGAGGAAACAGAAAGAGAAGATTGCAAAACTGAGTCCTCTTACCTGTTTTATTGGTGCCTCGTGTTTCTATCCAAATTCACTATTTACTTTTAACCCAGCAAAGTTGAATTAGAAATCCTTCATCTCCCAAAAGAAAAGAAAAAATTATCTGGGGTCCCTTGATTTTTACTTTCTGTAAAAAAAATTAAATAAATAAATAAAAAGTTACAGGGACCCTGGAGAGCCACTGGCAGTCAGTGTAGACAATGCTGAGGTAGATGGACCATAGCTGTCAAGCGTCCCTTATTTGGCGGGACAGTCCCTTATCCCAGCGCCATGTCCCGCTGCTGTCCCTTATTGATGATGTCCCTTAAATAAGCTACTGAAGGTATTGGGGCCCTTTCTATGTCCAGCTGTCCTTTGTCAACAACAAATTGTTGCTTTTTTGTGTTGAATATATGCTATATGGTAATTTATGGACCTAATAGGTATCTAAAGCATACAAAATATGTATTTTATCAAAGTAATTGTTGATCCCTTATTTTGGCTGCTGGTCCCTTATTTTCAAATCTGTAAGTTGACAGCTATAAGATGGACCATTGGTCTGACTCAGTAGAAGGCAGTTTCCTATGCTCCTATCCTAGTAGGTTCCCAGCTGACTGCTGCATGGCAGGGGGAGAGATCTTTTGCCCTCCCCAGAAGGCACCATGAGTCAGAAGGTTATTTAAAAAGCAACTTGTTTACCAAGACGCTCTCAAGTTGGTTAAGTAGTCTTTCCAAAGGCAAAGAAGTCTTCTGTCTGGAAGAAAAGGACTCCCCAGGAAGGAGAGATGGTAATCTCCACACTCGTTCTCTGGCTGCTGCTTTAGTGCCCTGCAGGCATATATATCATAGTCCAGTTTGGGTGCAATGCTAAACCATAGTTTTAGCGCTATGCACATGGTCAGCATTGCGCCTCAGGCTGGAGTGCTCCCCCTAAAGGTGGGTGGGCTGGGCCCACGTCAATTTGCACGCATTTGCAAATTGCAAATTCATTTGTAAGTCTGTATATGTGTGCACACAAAGAATACAAACAGGAGAAACTTCTCAGAAGTGCCAACCAAAAAAAAAAGAAAAAGGTTGATTACAGCTCAATACATTCCAGAACACTGGTTCCTTCTTTAGGAGCAATTGTAAACGTTCAAATTGTGCCTTTACAACCTGGTGTTTTGGACCACGATTCCCATCAGCCACAGGCAGCACAGTCGCCAAAGTCGCACTGCAGTTCACCAGGAGACTTTGCGAGGCAAGACTTTTGGGAAGCCCTATGCAAGGCGTCTCCCCGTATTGCCGGGCAGCAGCCTGTAGGCAGCCAGCCTGATCTGCTCTTCTGAATGCCAGCAGTCATGGAGAACCTGGCAGGGCAGATGCCAGCACCCGAGACCCTCTCTAAAAGTGCTGCCGTTCTTGAGGGAGAAGGCTCACCATTGGTGCTCCGTGACTCAGCAAGGAGCCAGCTGTGGCACACCCAAGCAAGCGGGATACTGGCTTGGTCCTGGAGTGCCCAACCAGACAGCTGCCAGCATCAGGGACCAGAGCAGAAGTAGCAGCCAGGAAGGGTGGGCCTGCTCCAGGGTTGTGCTCATGTGGCAGCAGAGCTTGGGCAGCTGGGATGGGATATGCCCATTTCACAGAAGGCCAATATGCCTCATGGTAGGGCTGGCACCCCTTCCTCTAGCTGCTACTTCTCCACTCCACGTTGTACATACTAGCTGCTCCCAATCTTGTTTACACATTGCACTGCAGACAAGTAGAGGTTGTTACCACATACGTACAAGAGTTTGTGTGGTTAGAGCATGGTGCTGATAATGCCAAAGTCTCAGAGTTGATCCCCCTACGGGACAGCTGCATATTCCTGCATTGTAGGGGATTGCAGATGATCTTCAGGGTCCCTTCCAACTCTATGGTTCTGAGGCTCAACTATAGCAACCAACTAGACGACTGTACAGCTCAAATATTTGTGCACAAGGTACATAGATTGTACCTTCATTGAACGTTGCATGTGAAGAACCCTGCAGTGATTTGGGGTTAAAGGACTTCATGTTCCTGACCTCAGTAATCTTTGTAACAGTCCTCTAAGGCAGGTCAGTGTCCATAAGAAAGTAGTCTCCAAATATTTTCATGGTCAAGGCAAAATCTGAACTCAGAGCTTTGTGGTTCACAGAACTGCATAATTCCCAGACCCCAATCCTTTATTGACCCCTTGCTAAAAGAAAAATGCCAGAAAATCTCCTTTCAGCTCACTTCTTCAGCTGTGGTTTTAACCACACTGTGCATAGCTAAACTATGGAACTCCTTGCCACAGGAGGCAGTGATGGCCACCAACTTGGGAGTCTTTAAAAGAGGACTGGGCAAATTCATGGAGGAGGAGAGGGCTATCAATGGCTGCCAGCCAGGATGGCTATGCTCTGTCTCCACATCTGGAGACTGTACTGTTTCTGAACAGCAGCCGCTGGAAACAGCAGGAGGAGAGAGTTGCTCTTGTGTTCAGAGCCTGTTTCTGGGTTTCCTGTGGGCATCTGGTTGGCCATTGTGAGAAGAGGACGCCAGACTAGATGGGCCATTGGCCTGATCCAATAGGAACCGTCTTATATTCTTGCTTTTTTAAAAAATAAAAATGATAATGAACTTTCTAGCTGGCAAACATCTATGGAGACATCTACACCGTCTGGGTGGGAACCATGCCTTTTGTCGTGCTGAATGGATACAAGGCAGTGAAAGAGTGCCTTGTCACTCACTCGGAAGAGACTGCGGGAAGAGCGCTCTCACCTTTCTATAAGGATCTGATGGGCGAAAAAGGTAAACACCGATATTATTATTTTCTTGGAAATTAGACTAAAGCAGATCTTTGGTGTCCTTCTGATGCCTTGAACAAACACATGACAAGAAGAAATTTGGTAAACTCCTGGCACAGAGATACTGCAGAGCTGCAGCTCTTTAAATTCTTCCTGCCAACTGAGGTCCAATTTCAGTTTTTGACATCACCCCAACTCTTTCTTAGTATCCAAGAGATAGATGATAGATGATAGATAGATAGATAGATAGATGATAGATGATAGATAGATTAGATAGATAGATAGATAGATGATAGATAGATAGATAGATATAGATAGATAGATGATAGATAGATAGATGATAGATGATAGATAGATAGATAGATAGATAGATAGATATAGATAGGTAGATAGATGATAGATGATAGATGATAGATAGATAGATAGATAGATGATAGATAGATAGATAGATAGATAGATATAGATAGATGATAGATAGATGATAGATAGATGATGATAGATGATAGATAGATAGATGATAGAGAGAGAGAGAGAGAGAGAGAGAGAGAGAGAGAGAGAGAGAGAGATAGATAGACAGATAGACAGATAGACAGATAGACAGATAATAGATGATAGATAGATGATAGATAGATAGGTAGGTAGATAGATAGATAGATAGATAGATAGATAGATAGATGATAGATAGATAGATAGATAGATAGATAGATAGATAGATAGATAGATGATAGATAGATGATAGATAATAGATAGATAGATATAGATATAGATAGATGATAGATAGATAGATGATAGATAGATGATAGATGATAGATAGATAGATAGATAGATAGATAGATAGATAGATAGATAGATGATAGATATAGATAGATAGATAGATGATATAGATATAAACAACATGAATCAGGAATATGGAATCCTGTTTCAGGGATATTAAAAGAAATTGTTTTCTTTAATGCTTTTATGAATAGAATAGATGTTAACCTTTACAGGTTTGAGCACTATCTGTGTGGAGTATTTATTACAAACACACACATACAATGCTATTTTTCTAGAAAAAAAGAAGTGCCAGAAATCACCACGAACACTTCCCTTGTTCTCTTAGAATGGCAATGGAGAGGTGCCAGAACTGAGTTGTCATGTAGCATTACAAAGAATCTATCATTCAAATTTCTTTGTGACTGCCTAATAACTTAATTGTCACAATCTGTACCTTCTGCAATCCATTTCCCTCTGACCTCACTGCTTCCCATCCTGCCAGTAGCTGAGGATATCATTGTGCATCTTACGAAGTGGACTGTGGTCTAGAAAGCTCACACTGGCCTTTGTCAACCTGGTCCTCCCCAGATGTTTCGGATGACAACTCCCATCAGCCCATCCAAGCCACCCGGAGAGCCCCAGGTTAGCAAAGACCGGCTTGTGCCATAGTTAATTTGCCAGCCTTCAAGGCGCATCTTTATCTCTTTAGCCGCAATGGATAAAGGCAGTTGAAAGAATCTGTCATTGCCAACATTATTGTGGAGGGCAAAAGATATTGTCGCCCATCGTGTTACAGCTGCACTGCTTGACACAGAAAAAGGATTTTCTTTTGTGTCACACAGGCATTTATCCTACGAACAACCATAACTGGAAGCAGCAGAAATACTTTGCCATGATGGCACTAAGAAGTCTTGGGATGGGGAAGAAGCACCTGGAACACAGAATTCACAACGAAGCCCACCAACTCCTAATGGCAGTGACAAGCAAAGAAGGTAAACTCACGACCAGGCAGCTTTCAGTTTTTGCTTATGATAGCCCTCTCCACACGACACATGATCTGGGGTTCCTTGTTGCAATGGACCGATCTGCAAGGAAGACAACTGTGCAGAAATGAAAGGGTACAGCCCCATCCCTCTGGAATTCCTCTGACGGCTGATGCACTTGCCAAAATAACTGATTATCTTGCAAAGAGGGGGACGCAGCTTCCTTGCAGTGCTTGCCCTGCACAGCAGCTGTTTCCAAGTGATTCAATTGTCTTTTAATTTGAGATAAGTCCCTGCCCAATACCTTGAGCAGGTTTGTTTTGTGGCTGTGAACTCATCTTCTGCCAGTTCTGCAACATATGAATGCAAAGCGGAGTGTGGACAAAATGAAACAAATGAGGTTCGCTACAAGAGAGAGGGCCTTTTCAGTGTTGGCACCCCAGAGGGGTCTGCCTAGTGCCAACATGACAATCTTTTTAGGTGCCCGGTGAAGGTGTTTCCGGTTGTAAATGTTTTTTACTGCTTTAAAAAAAACACCTCATTGTTTTTAAAAAATTAATGCAAAATACAAACAACATTGAGCATATTTATACAAAGGATGGCGGGGGGGGAGGAAAACTAGAATATATAAGCGGGAGGGGAAGAAAAAGGAAAAGAATACCCTACATTAATTCATTGACGATGGTGTGTGAGTGTGTCTAAAGGTAAAGGCAAAGGGACCCCTGACCATTAGGTCCAGTTGTGACCAACTCCGTGGTTGCTGTGCTCATCTCGCTTTATTGGCCGAGGGAGCCGGCATACAGCTTCCGGGTCATGTGGCCAGCATGACTAAGCCGCTTCTGGCAAACCACAGCAGCGCATGGAAACGCCGTTTACCTTCCCGCCGGAGCGGTACCTATTTATCTACTTGCACTTTGACGTGCTTTCGAACTGCTAGGTTGGCAGGAGCAGGGACTGAGCAACGGGAGCTCACCCCGTCGCGGGGATTCGAACCGCCAACCTTCTGATTGGCAAGTCCTAGGCTCTGTGGTTTAACCCACAGCGCCACCCTGAGTGTGTGTACCATGCCACTAATTCTTCCTGCATTCACAGGTTTAGCCTTTGACCCCCAGACCCCCATAAACCACGCTGTGGCCAACGTCATCTGCTCTTTGCTGTTTGGGCATCGCTTCGCCAGTGAGGACAACTCTTTCAACCGATTGATAAAAGCCACCTATTTGATCGTCTTCATTCCGGCTTCTTTCAGGGGTGGGGTGAGCTTCCTTCTATTCCTGCTCTTGAACCTCTTGAAAGCCGCTTTCCGTTACGCTTCCTGAAATTAAGTGAAAACAGGGGCCTTTCTGCTCAGGGTCCTTGTGTTCTCACCCCACACAGTGCATGCTGCAAAACTCCACCTATTTTCTGGGTTTGGCACGACCAGCTGCTGCCTTCCTTTTTATTCTTTTGCAAGATCAATCTGCATCCTTTGCAGAAACATTGCATTCTTCTGAGAAATGGCCTGCCTCCCCTTTCCAGCACATTAAGGTTCTCTCAGAGCCGTTTTTTGGGCTCAGTCGGAATTAATTTCATGACACTCCTCCTCACTTGCATTTTCCTTTGTTGCCACAGGTATATAATGTTTTCCCGCGGATTATGCGCCGCCTACAAGGGTCGCATCAACAAGCGTTTGAATACAACAACTTCCTCCATGCCTTTGTGAAGGATGAGGTCCAAAGCCACCAGGAAAGATGGAAGGAAGGTCAAGAACCAGAGGATCTCATTGACCTCTACCTGGACCAAATGGCAAAGGTAAGAACATGGCTTCTGTCCAGCTTCATCACCATGCCTGTCCTGAGGCAAAGCGGCCTTGGGCAGGGCTCAGCATGGCTACTAAGAACAAGCCGGGCTCTGATGTGGCTTCACCCACAGCCAGCTAGCTTTAGGGCACATTCAAACCAAACATTTAAAGCACTATCTGAAGAAGTGTGCATGCACATGAAAGCTTATACCCAGAACAAACTTAGCTGGTCTCTAAGGTGCTACTGGACAATTTTTAAATTTTTATTTATTTATTTAAAGCACTATGATACTGCTTTAAGCAGCCACGGATTCCCCCAAAGAATTCTGGGAGCTGTGGTTTGTTAAGGGTCCTGACAGTCGCTCAGAGGCCGCCATTCCCTTCACAGAACTACAATTCCCAGAATTCGCTGGAAATTAGGGGTGGAATCCCTACTACAGTGGTACCTCGGGTTAATTACTTAATTTGTTCTGGAGGTCCGTTCTTAACCTGAAACTGTTCTTAACCTGAAGTACCACTTTAGATAATGAGGCCTCCTGCTGCCACCGCTGCACGATTTCTGTTCTCATCCTGAAGCAAAGTTCCTAACCCAAGGTACTATTTCTGGGTTAGCAGAGTCTGTAACCTGAAGCGTCTGTAACCTGAGGTACCACTGTACTCTGGAAATCACGCTAGCAGGGCCCATGAGGACCCTGACTGAGGTTGAATGGGCCCTAAATGTACCACCTTCGTATTGATGAATTGCATTTATATGCCACTCACAGAACGTCAGAAGTCCTCCGGGCGGTTTAAAACTCAGTGCCAAATGCAGTCCAGAGTCCAAAACAATTAAACTAGTTAGCGACAATAGAAAGCAGCAGAAGACAAACTATCTACAAACAGGGCTGATCCACATGAGGCAAGATGAAGCGATTGCCTCAGGTGGGACGACCCACAGTGGCAGCAGATCCAGCGTCCAAGGGATGCTTCACTTGTAGCAATGGCTACGGGACACCCCTTGGAGGCCGGATCTGCCTTTCCCACAGCACACACACACCCCCTCACAATACCACCTCAACAGCAGCCTCTTGGTGAATAGGAGGGTCTGCTGGTCTCCTTCCTCCCCTAGGAAAGAAATGGCAGAGGCTGCCCTCTGTGGTCTCCTGGGGTCTGCACCCACCTGGCATGAGTCGGCCCCTTTCCCCCACACAACGGCCTTTGATTCCCAGTTCAACCATCGGGTCAGGTTGATGTGATTCTGCCCCTGTGTTTCTGATGTGGATCCCTGTTCTTTCCTGGTGGGGAAGCCCCGCCATTTTGTGGTTCACCACAGGTGCCAAAATGTCTTTGAGCTGGCCCTTCTCTACAAACCAGCCTAAGCACAGCAGCATAAAATCAATTTTGAAGCAGCCAAGAGAGGAAAAAGTTGGAACAAGAATCTGAAAATATCCGATAAATATAGCTTAGTGCTTACCCTTCTGAATGTTGCTGCTCATTATTTGGAAAGTTTCCCCCCAGGTTTCTGGGGGGCAGGGATAGGCTGGGAGTGGGGTATAAGTAGCTGCAGAGGAAAAGGAGAGTTTTGGGAGCCCTGGCTGGTCAGCAACTGAATCTCTGGCAACTGAATCTTTGACTCATGACCTGGCTCTGCCTCCAAGCCTGGCTGGCCAAAAAGGCCAAGGAAACTTCACAAGCAGCTCTTGTTGGATAGGGATCCACTAAGCTTTTGTGCATTCTGCCCACAGAGCAAAGATGAGCCAACGTCCACTTTCAATGAAGACAACTTGGTTCAAACTGTAGTTGACCTCTTGATCGGAGGGACCGTGAGCACCACGACTATCCTGTACTGGGGATTGCTTTACTTGTTAAAATATCCAGATGTTCAAGGTGAGTCACTCATCATCATCATCATCATTTTATTTGCAATCCGTCTTCCCATACTTAAAACCATGCTCAAGGTGGCTTACAACAGGAAGAGGTTTACATCTGATGTGAGGAAAAGGCACCAAGGGGTGCACAGCCCAATTGAACAATTTCCACATTAATCGTAACATGATCTAAAATAAAGATGTACAAAAAATTAAAATCAACAACAACAACAACCCCCACTGAACCCCCTGGGCCAAGGGTCTGTTCAGCAGCCTCAGCTTTTGTAGCTGGAGTCAATCCGTCAGGGCTCCACCCTCCCTGGCCAGGTGTAAAAAGGCTTGCAAGGCAGGCAGTAGGTCTTCCAGGACTCTTTTTTGCTGTTTCGAACAGCAAAAAAAAAAAAAAAATGTTGAATGCATTCAACAAATAGACTAGCTAATAATGACTGTAGAATACCAAAATTGCACGTTCCGTCGACTACATGTGTGAAACTCCTAAAATTACAAAGCAAGATGACAATGGTGCAATCCCAGATTAAAGAGCAGTGAGAATTGGGTCAGACTTGCAAAGCATTTTGCAAAATATCAAGAGAGTTGGAGGAAGGGTGTGAATCTTCTATAACAGGAGCCAAATGAACAGGTCTAGGCAGAACCTTAAAGAGCTGGGTCTCACTGCCTGCTGAACCGCCGCAGGCAGAAAGTCAACCAGTGTAGCTTTCCTGTCAATGTGTCCCTTACCCAGAAAACTGCACCAGGGGAAATTCTGCCTGCCATGCGGCTGTGAAAGAAATAGGAGAGCTTGAGGGTAAAAAAGCGAGGTGACCGCAGCATATTGGTATGGCCCGGGGCAGTGAGACATTCACAAAGGAAGGATTGAACTCTGATTAATAAGAATACACACAGAGGCTTGAACCAGCAAGACTCTGGGAACGGTGCGTATAATAATCTCTGCTCCTCCACCCTCCGGCCCAGGTCGTTTTATTCACAAAAGAACTTTTTACAGTCAGTGTTCGTAAGAACCAATCAGATTTCTTCTAAGCATTTCAACAAACCCCACGTGGGGACAAAGTTAAACTACCAAAACTGGGGTAAATAAAACAGAACTACAAAGGAGTGCATTTGGCAACCCCTGAGGTCATAAACAAGCAATACACATGATAAGAAGGATGGCCAGGAGGACAGAGATCATTATCACCTTTATGTGAAACCTGTTTCCTGGCCCTAAGATTAACATCCTAAGATTAACATATCAGAAAGCTACAGCAAAGAAACTGATGACCCAGGATGCCTGCCTGTCTAAGTGTGTACCTGACTTGTGAAGAAAGAGAAATGGAACAGGGATGCAGAGATGTGGATTGATCAAGAATCATATCAAAATAGTTCAAACCCAGTCAACGCAATGCTTTCATTGCTGACACAGATGGCTTACTTTATATTTGTTATAATTCCTCATAGCAATCCCACCTGATCACTACAGGGCAGTATGTTCTACAGCCTTGCATTAACTTACAAGGCACATTAACAACTTAGGGGCAGGATACCCCAAGGACCACAAACTCACTATATCGCTGCCTGATCACTGAGATCTGTGGCAGAGTGAGTGGCCCTCCGTGGCTCGCAGCTATCAGGAGCTGTACATTCAGTATTGTGTTCCCAATCCTGTGGAGCTCTCCAAAGGCTCTCCAAAGGCTGAGAACAGAGAGGCCCCTCTCTGTTGAACCCCTCAGGTGTTTTTTATTCCAACAGGCATTTCTGGTTTTATGGTGAATTTGAACTGGCTTTGTATTTTGTAATTCAGTTTGTGGAATTGAGTTTAGTGCTAAGATGCTCACATTGAGCAATGGAATGTTCTCCTCCTACCAGACACCTCCAGGCACATTCCAGGGGTGTGTGAATCAATATATAACTTGTTGAAATAAAGCAATCAACCTTATGACTGCCCATTTTCCATATGCCTGAAATCCAAAGAGTCCGGGGCAGAAATGGGGAGCCTGCGGCCCCTCCAGATGTTGCTGAACTACAATTCCTTTCAGACCAGCCAGCACGGCCAATGGCCAGGAATCATGGGAGTTGTAGTTCAGCACCATCTGGAGGTCCACAGGTCCTCCACTCTTAAAAATAAAATAAAAAAATCAACGAGGTGGTATGAGGAAATGAAGACTAACAAGTAAGAAGAATTCTGCTGGCGTCCATTAAGGAAATTATTTATCTGCAGAGAAAATCCACGAGGAGATAGATGCCATTCTGAGACCTTCCCACGTCATCACTTACGAGGACCGGATTAAAGTGCCCTACACCAACGCTGTACTTCATGAGGTGATGCGCCATTGCAATGTGTCCCTCACCGGGCCTTTCCGGAAATGCTTGGAGGACATCACTTTGCTGGGCTTCCCCCTTAAAAAGGTACACGATGCCCCTTCCCCCAAAGGCTGCACAGGCGGAAAGGCGGGGTATGAATAAACATACAATAAATATAATAATCCTTGTGACCATTATTGGCACCGGTCAGGAGCCGGGATGCTTTGGGTTCCTCCAGGCAGCCTGTTTATTTGATTACATGGAGGGCAGACAAGGTCCTGTCTTGCAAAAAGGATTGCCCATCAGTTGTTTCACACGATTTTGAATCATGTTCCTCGTTTGTTTTTATTTTGCTTATTTATTTCATAGAATTCATACACTGTTCGATTTTTATTATTTTTTAAAAGCAGTACAGTCGTACCTTGGAAGTTGAACGGAAAGCAATCCGGAAGTCTGTTCGACTTCCAGAATGTTCAGAAACCAAAGCGCGGCTTCTGATTGGCTGAAGGAAGCTCCTGCAGCCAGTCAATAGCCGTGGAGGCTGGGTCAGACGTTCAGCTACCAAAAATCGTTTGAAAACCAGAACACTCACTTCCGGATTTCAATTGTTCGGGAGCCAATTTGTTCAAGATCCAAGGTACAAAAAGGATAAAATAGTAATATTATCTCCAGAAAGAACTAACAAGGATGTTCTGATGGCAACAATTAATTTGCAAACTCATCCGAAGTAATTCTCTCCTCCCTTTTGCGCAGGGGACCCTGGTGCTGCCCAACCTTCACTCGGCGCTGTATGATCCAGAGTACTGGGAGACCCCCTGGACCTTCAACCCGGGGCACTTCCTCGACTCGTTTGGCCGGTTTGCGAGCAACAAAGCCTTCTTGCCTTTTTCGACAGGTAAAGAACCTACTCCTTCTCCTTCCCAGGATGCAGATCTAATGGTGAAATCCCATATCGTGATGGTGGTGGTGGTGATAATTTATTATTATTATTATTATTATTATTATTATTATTATTATTAATAATACCCCGCCCATCTGGCTGGGTTTCTCCAGCTACTCTGGGTGGCTCCCAACAGAAAATTAAAAACTAAAACTTCAAACATTAAAAACTTCCCTGAACAGGAATGCCTTCAGATGTCTTGTAAAAGTCAGGTGGTTGTTTATTTCCTTGACATCTGATGGGAGGGCGAGCGCCACTACCAAGAAGGCCCTCTTCCTGGTTCTCTGTAACCGTGCAGTGAGGGAACCACCAGAAGGCCCTTGGAGGTGGACCTCAGTGTCCAGGCTGAATGTTGGGGGTGGAGATGCTCCTTCAGATATACAGGACCAAGGCCGTTTAGGGTCAGCACCAACACTTTGAATTGTGCTCAGAAACGTACTGGCAGCCAATGTAGGTCTTTCAGGACCAGTGTTACATGGTCTCGGAGGCTTCCGAGTTAAACAGACCACCTTTGATGATAATTGGGTAACATCAAATGAGCATGACCAACACAGTAGGCAAGGGCTTGGAATTGTGTCTTTCTTTCATGGAAGCGATTCTGTTCCTTCGATTCTCCTGCAGGGCGCCGGTCCTGCGTGGGAGAACCTTTGGCAAGGATTGAGCTTTTCATCTTCTTCGCTAACCTGCTGCGTGCCTTCAAGTTCCACCTTCCAGACGCAGAAAAGGAAGTCAACATGGAAGCCATTAATGTAGGTACCTGTCAGCCGCACCCGTACAGGATCCTCGCAATTCCACGCTAACCCAACCTGGCTGCAATTTCCTTCCAGGAGCAGCTGGGTGGGCCAGAAGGGGAGCTGTTGGAAGAGCCCATGTCATCCATTCTCATTGCCAGCAGTGGCTCGCAAGCTTCTTAGAGCTGCCACCCTCAACCTTAGTTACCTGTTGCTCAGGTGAACTTCAGCTTGCACCAGGAGAAGTCTCCCGGAAAGAATCAATGAATGGCCATCTTCTCCCTCTCTCCAGGTGAGAGATGGAGAAGTGGCTGAGAGCGAAAACCCAGGTGGGAGCTGGGAGGAAAGGCAGCCACAGGTGACAGGTGTGGCTTCCACCCAAGGCTTGCGGGTTAATTGCAGCGAACTTTCTGGAATAACAATTCTGCACCTCCCCCAATTCTTATGCTGCCATTTTATTTCTTTGTTAGGCATTCTTCTCTCTCCTGTTCATTTTTAAGTGACTAAATTAGGTTAGTTTATTTGTAGCGTTTTATACAACTCAGTAGGGATTGGTTCCTTTGCATTTACTTATTGACAGTATTAAATCTAATTGTTCCTAGTATGTGTCTTGAAATGTTATCCTGACTCTTTGGGCACCGTTTTGTGGAGATCACACTTTGTGATCCCAATGGAAGTGGGCTGAGGTTCATAAAAGCTTGTGCCATAATAAATGTGTTTATTAAGTGCTGCGAGACTCTTTGTTGCTTTATCACAGATACCATGATAGCCCAGGTTTTGAACACCTGCCATGGTTAATTCCATGCTGCTTCCTGTGTCATTTTGTAGACAGCAACCTGGAATGTAAGTGTTTGCATTTCTCTGTAGCTAAACGGTTATAACCAGACCGCACCAATGACTGCAGGAGGCGCCAAATAAACCATGCAGGGCTGGGTACTGTGCATATTGACAACCCTTGTTATCCATTTAGGAGAGATACCATCTCTTACCTCCAGGATCTTCCCATCCACCCTTTCCCACTAACACGGAAGGAAAAGGAGATTGCATATACACACATAAGGTAAAGGTAAAGGTACCCCTGCCCGTACGGGCCAGTCTTGCCAGACTCTGGGGTTGTGCGCCCATCTCACTCTATAGGCCGGGGGCCAGCGCTGTCCGCAGACACTTCCGGGTCACGTGGCCAGCGTGACATCGCTGCTCTGGCAAGCCAGCACAGCACACGGAAACGCCGTTTACCTTCCCGCTAGAAAGCGGTCCCTATTTATCTACTTGCACCTGGGAGTGCTTTCGAACTGCTAGGTTGGCAGGCGCTGGGACCGAGCAACGGGAGCGCACCCCGCCGCGGGGATTCGAACCGCCGACCTTTCGATCGGCAAGCCCTAGGCGCTGAGGCTTTTAACCACAGCGCCACCCGTGTCCCTTATATGCACACATACATATATACAAATACATACAGGCACTCCCTGGTCTCCAAGCTTACTCTGCTTTTCCTAATTTCCCGTGGTAGCATGTTGGAGCAAAGCAACAAAGGGATATAGGGAGTGATTGCCACTACAAAGAAAATCATTGCCTTTGCTTTTAGAAAAGCTGCTCTGCAATCCCAGGAAGGTAAATTATTTTTTTTCAGATGCCTCATTCTGTTTCCTGTACAGGCCTGTCAATTTCCTGTATCCAAATGGGGCAGACAAATTGAAAACGTAGACAGTTGCAAAGCCTAGTGGGCAACAGAGATGCCTGGAAGAGTTGTCTATAGCAGAGAAAAATGAGGCCATTTTCCATTTTCCTTACCGTTTTCAACACACACACACAACCTGCAAAGCATCACCATGAAAAAGCACCACAGTATAAAAGAACACAACTCCCCAAAAAAGCTCGTGTGAACAGAATGCCATTTAACATTTTAATATATTATTTTCAAAAGACGTTTCACCGACGACCTCATTTGTTAAAAAAAAATACAATATTTTAAAATCTCACTTAAGAAATGCTTTCCAAGGAAATCTGGAAAAAGATCAGTTTGAACTATAGAGGCATAACTCTCCCCAACTAATAATTTTTAAAATTATAGCTCTTCTTAAATCCGTCACGTGCGATTTCCTCCCCGCAAAGAGTTTCAAACCAATGCCTTATTACAAAGGGGATTATTCTCGCTTCTCCAGCTCACATTCTCCTGAAAGAAGCTCCTTAGAATCTCCCCAACCTGATAAACACAACTGTTTAAATAACTTAAATAAATAAATAAGACGTTCTGGGGGAACTGCAGCCCAGCTGCTGCAAGTTCAGGCCCACCAAAAGGCTCACCTATGCGGCTAACTAAGGCAGGAAATTCCAGCCAGGATTATTGGGAGGTTTTTCCTTCATGCCTCACCAGATCCTGGCCAAGGTGGTGCTGATCGAGTGGAGAGAATCACTGAAATCAGGAGGTGGAGGGCCTAAAAAAATGAACGTTGGAGTGCAGTGGAAGAGCGCAGTGGGAAATCAAGAAAAAGGAATGGGAATCCAACGAGGCAGAAATAGAAGCACGGGGTTGGGCTAGGTGACCCTTGCAACTCTATTCTATGGAGCTGGGAGAGGAATCCAGTTTAGACAGAGCTGTTATACCTCCTGAGTCCTGTCCTCTTATCGCCCTCCACGCAATACTCATTTTTTGGGGGGGAGCCTTGACCGTGAAGGACTAAGCCACTAATAGATATGATGAGAGGTTTGCTAAGGGGATGGTTTTCCCAAACAGTTTTGAGCAAGTCTGCCCAACAGCCAACCTGCCTTTGTGGGCTGAAGACAAATAGGTTTAGAAACGTGTGTTTTTTTCACCCTTCGGTTAATTGTTCACAGGTGGAGACAGGCAGGCTGCTCACTCACTGGACCCCTTCACGGTTATTGTCTCGAGGCGATACTGGTTCCATATATTATTAATTATTACTATATAAATCTGGTTTTATTTTTTGTCTTGCGCGTTTTAATGGAGAGCAAGATAGAAATGCCTCAAATAAAATAATGTCAGCCATCTCCTGCATTTACACCTCGTTTGGGGCCGCCAATACAGTGGGGGGGGGGGATTGTCAAGCACCTAAGACGCTGCACCCAGCTGCGAGTGGCGTCTTGCATATGTGGAAAGCATCGCTGGCTGCAATACCGCCATCTTTTTTAAAACTTCCTTCCTGAAAGGATGGTAGCATTTCCTGTCTGCTTCGTCCTGGCCTCCTTCCCCTTCTATCTGTTTCCAAAGCTTACTTGGTTAACGGTTTGGGCTCCGAGAAACCGACTTCCACTAGGAACACACACACATACACACACACACAGGGCAAAAGTCTCACCACCACAGAATCAGAACAGATTTGAACACAGCACATGCACAGCGGTGCCTTTCCGCCGATATTTAGAGGGCACTGAACGAAATACAACGAGCAAAGTCCATGGATCTCGACACAGTTCATATGGGGGTATTTGAAACAAACAAACAGAAGAGGAATTGGAGGTGAGATTTCGTTCCGTTTGATTTTAAAGAGAGGGTGACTAAGAGGACCAGATGCGACTCTGCCTGGGGGGAAAACCCAGTTGGGCCCAACTTCCGTCAGGTTAAAGCAAAAACAGTGTTGTCCTTCCCAAGGCGCCCACCACTTCCTCCCTTGCTGGGTGTGCCAATTCCAAATTACATTTTCATCACAGCTTTGAAGGAGACCTGCAGAATGAAAGAAAAACAAACATGCACGCTGTTGGAAACAAAAACAGAAAACTGCTGTTTTGTGGACTCCCACCCCCCAAGCCTTCAAGAAAGAGTCTGAAGGAGAAATCTACACAGTCAAGATGTCCGACATGAATGGAGTGGAATTCAGAGAAGCTGCGCTCTTATAAACAAGCAGAGTGCCTAGTCCTCCTGATATGTCCAGAGAAGGCTTTCAGTACACGGATGCTAGTTAGAGAGAGGTGTGCTTCTAGGGTGGGAGTCTCAATCGGGTGCCAGCTAAGGGCCTTTTAAAGCAGATTTTAGCTCGTCTATGAAGCAACACACCTGAGCTAACTGCTACCAGGGCTGCATCATTCAATAACATCCCAAACCAATCTGGGAGGGGTAAGATGTGTGCCCACTTAGCTGACTTGATCATCCAAGTCGTGTTGTATGTCTTGGGGAAGACTTGCATTGTTTGTTGATGCTAGATTTATAATGTTAGGAGTTGGGGAGTGCTTAATATTTATATTCCACCCATCCAGCTGGGTTGCTCCAGCCACTCTGGGCGGCTTCCAACACATATAAAAGCATAATAAAACACTTTTCAACACAGGGCTGCCTTCAAATGTCTTTTACGATTTGCGTAGTTATTTATCTCCCATCTGATGGGAGGGCGCCACCACCGAGAAGGCCCTCTGCCTGCTTTCCTGTAACCTCGCTTCTCTCAGTAAGGGAACCACCAGAAGGCCCTCGGCGCTGGACCTCAGTGTCCGGACTGAAAGATGGAGGTGGAGACGCTCCTTCAGATATACTAGGCCAAGGCCGTTTGGGGCTTTAAAGGTCAGCACCAATAATTTGAATTGTGCTCAGAAACGTACTGGGAGCCAATGTAGGTCTTTCAGGACTGGTGTTATATGATCCTGCCGCCCACTCCCAGTCACCAGTCTGGCAACCGCATTCTGGATTAGTTGTGATTTCCGAGGCACCTTCAAATGTAGCCCCACATGGAGTCACATCGCAGTAGTCCAAGTGGGAGACAACCGTAGCACGTACAACTCTGGAGAAACAGTGCGTGGCATTAAGGAACCACTTTTGAATATGTGTTGTGTCTAACTTGCACTCAACTGACCCCCACAAGCATTCTGGCCTGCACAAGCGTGTTTGGAAAATTACGAAGGTTGCTCTGTAGAAATAAACTTGAAAAAGGGATATTCTAGGTCTGTGTTTCTTGGCTCTGCTAAGGCTTCTCCATGGTGATTTAAAAACAAGCCAAGTAAGAACTGTCCACACAGGAGTGGAGATTTGGCTGTCTGGCTCTGAGTAACACATCTGCCATATAATAACACTGACCTACCTCACAGAGTTGTTGTGAGGCCAGCAAGGCTTTGAAAAGCCTCTCCGCTGCCTTCGGATGTTATACCTGGCTACTCTTGCTCATCCAACTCATAAATCACAACTGCTGGCAACTTATTTAAATGGCTATTTTCAGGAGTGATTTTAAAAGCCTTTTTATTGTTCTGAGAAATCTATGCACATAGGCAACAAAAGCTGTAAGAGCACAACTGGAAGGGATGTTAATGCTTTTAAAGCAGGGATGAGGGATTTGTGGTTCTCCAGATGTTGCTGAATTAAAACTCCTACCGTCCCCGGCCTCTTGGCTCTGCTGGTTGCAAGGGCTGATGGGAGCTGGAGTCCCTCAACATCTGGAGGGCCACGGGTTCCCCATCCCTTCGTTTTACAAAGTCAGCTTAACACGACCAAAGCAGCTCACAGACCAGCAAATTAGTACCAGGGTGGCTTGTAAATTCGGGACTCTCAAGAAGACATGCAGCAGGATCCCATTTGGAGATTGCATCCCCCTTTTTTATATAGTGGGAAGATCGGGGGGGGGGGGGCAGAACAAATATGGGGTGCCTGGAGTCTTTTGCTATTAGATTTTCTCTGGGATTTTTGGTCAAAATAGCAATGCCAACCCAAAGGGCTCTTTCGAGCTCCTTATAACTTCCTTGGGAAATAGAAAGGATAGCTCAGTTGGTTAGAGCATGGTGCTGATAAT